AGAGGAGGGAGAGCTTTGCAGAGGCAGGTAGGGAGTGTAGAACAGATGAGAAGGGGGAGGATGTGGACTGGCTTCACAAAGATTGCCATGAACACGGGGACAGTGCAGTGGCCAGGAGAGCTGGATACAAGAAGTGGAAAATCTGGGGAAGCCGACTGTGGAATATGGAAGACAGCTGTTGCAGGGGCCGGTGCTGTGGCCTCTGCTCTAGCTTTCCCACAGCCCGGTTCACCCTTCCTTGGACTTTGCCTGGTTGGCTCCTGCATGACAGGGTTGGCTCAAGGGCCCCTGCTCCTCAGGGAAGCCTGCCCTGCCACCCCTGCTGAAACAGTCACTCTCCAGCACATCTGCGTGCTTCACTTTCTCCACAGACCACCACCTGAACATACCTAGTCTATGTCTTTGTTCAGTGGCCACCTCCTCCATGGAAGATGAGGATTCCATGAGAGCAGAAGCATTACTGGGCTTGTTCTCCACAGATACCCAGGGCTGGCACAGAGCAGGCTCAGTAACTATTGCTGAGAGTCTCTGAACTGTCATGGTAAAAGGAAAACAAATTTTATTTATTTATTTATTTTTTTAAAAATTAATTAATTAATTACTTTTTCATTTGAGTTTTGCCAGAGAAAGACAGAGAGAGAGAGAGAGAGAGAGAATGAATGAGAAAGCAAGCCATCAGGTCTGGGACTTGAACCTCTGTCGGCCATGTGGGAATGTACTTTAACCACCACGCCACCTGCTGGCCCCAACGAATTTTATTTTTTGAGAGAGATTTTTTGCGATAAGGCACATGAGCCAGGGCGACCAAGAGACAGAAAGCAAGAAATCACCATTAGGAGGGATGGCTACACTGCAATCCCCTCTCCTCCATTCTCCTCTTGGGATTTTGGGCACGCATGCACATATGCCCAGAGTGAGTTTAAATTGTCAGGTCCAGGATTCGAACCATAGTTGGCCGTGTGAGAGTCTAGCACCTTAACCACTATACCACCTGCTGGCCCCTATAATAATATATTTTTTTCTACATTCCAGGCCTGTGTTAAGTGACTATATAAACATGACCTCATTCCTCTGAGCAGCTCTATGAGGGAGATGCTGTTTTATAGATAAGGAAACTGAGGCCAAGACATTGGTCACAGTTGGCATAGTGGTAACACAACTGGACCCACATGGGTAGGCCCTCCACCTGTGTCTTAAGACCTGCTTGCACACGCTGGGCTCACACACCTTTCATAATCTGTGATGGATGAAGCTGCGGATGGACCTCAGTAGCAAGACCCTCTTAGGGCTTCCGTCTTTCTCTCTCTCTTTTTCTCTCTGTCATGGAAGAAAGAAATAGATTTAAGAAAATTGGGACCAGCAGATGGTACAATGGTTACATTGCTGAACTCTCACGTAGTCAACCACAGTTCTAGTCCTGGACCCAGTGGCTTGAAACTCACATTGGGCACATGTACACATGTGCCCAAAATTCCAAAAGGAAAATGGAGAAGGGATTGTGGTGTGGTCATTCAACTAGGGGATGATTTCTCATTTTCTGTCTCTCTGGTGAGCAAAAATATCTCTAAAAAATAAATTAAATATGGGACCAGCAGGTGGTGTGGTGGTTAAGGTGCTGGACCCTCCCACATGGCCGACCAAGGTTCAAGTCCTGGTCCTGGTGGCTTGCTTTCTCACTTTCCTTTTCTCTCTCTCTGTCTCTCTCTCTGGTCAAATTAAAATAAATGAATGAATGAATAAAATTAAAAACAAAATTAAATAAAGAGAGAGAGTAGTTAAGTGCTCCAGGACATACAGAGAAAGGGTTTGAACCTATGGGCTGGCACTGTCCAATAGAAATATAATATGAACCATATCAATGACTTTATATATTTTGGTAGCCACTTTAAAATATATAAATTGAGCTGGCTCTATGGCCTGGTCGTCGGCCAGATCCCACATGGATAACCATGCAGTTCCTAGACCTGCCAGGAGCATGTGTATGCATGCCCAGAACCCCGAGGCAAAAGAGAGATGGAGAGGGGTCTGCAGAGTGACCATTCCCATGGGGGGGGTGCTTTCTCCTCTCCTTCTGTTTTTCTGTCACTCTCTGGCAAGTGCATGTACCTTCTAGCAAAGAAAAAAAAATACATATATAGATAGATAGATATACACACATATTTATATATAGAAATCAGGCAAAATTAATTTTAAAAATATATTTCATTTAGATTTAAAAATAGGTATCATTTGAATGTGAGTCAGTACAATAGATGAATAAGATTGTTTTTTTGAATAATTATTTTATTTAACTTTATTTATTATTATTATTATTTTAATATTTCCAGAGTGAGAGAGAGAGAAAGAGAGGGAAAGTGAGAAAGCAAGCCTCCAGATCCAGGACTCGAACCACGGTTGGCATGTGGGAGTCCAGCACCCTTAACTACCATGCCACTTGCTGGCCCCTTTATTTTTTTAAATTTTATGTTTTTACTAAGTCTTCAAAATCTGGTGCCTAGTTTAGGCTTATAGCACTTGCTAAATTTTCATTAAAATTATCTATATTTAAAGTTTATTTATATTTCCCATGAGTGAGAGACAGAGAGGCAGTTCCCCCAGCAGGGTCTTGACACCGTGTTCTGCACCCGCCTCAGCCAGCCCTGGATCATGGCACATGTGTACCCAGTGGACTCAGGATGCGGGTCACCTCAGAGTGCTGCATTTTACCACTGCATCGCCATCCCACCCGATTTCCTAAGTTTTACAATTTAAAAAGTAAATTCACATAACCCAAGTTATTCTAAACATACGTAAGTTTTCTGATAACTAGATTAAGCATCACTTTTTAAATCTAAATGTAAATTAATTAAAATGAAATAAAATTTAAAATGCAGACACTCAGCCACCTTAGCCACACTTGGATAGCCTCAGAGCCGCCTGTGGCTGGAGGCCGGAGTGCTAGAGGCAGCTTGGGGTGTGTAGCCTCATCTAGCACAAAGGCTGGGTGGGCAGGAAAGAGAGACTGGAGTCCAAGAGACCCAGAGGGAGGAATCAGGAATAAACTGGGGACCGACTGTGAGGACGGACAGATGGGGAAACCGAGATGGGCAGGCTTGAGCCCCCCACGTAAAAATGAGGTGGCTAGCCAGCCATGACTGGCCCACAAGAGCTCACGGGCCTCCTGTGTGCTTCCCTTCAGTCTGAGGCCCCTCCTACTAAGGAAATGAGGGCCCTCAGACTTGGGTTAGAGCAAATGCTGCTCCAGCTCAGCTTCTACCCTAGGCAGCTCCACCACAAAGGAATCTGGTTGGGGATAAGGGGAGGTGTATGAGGCTGGACCTGGGCAGGTCCAAGCCAGGCAGGTAGAGAGGTCTCCCTCTTCTCTCAACTCTGGGCAGCTGTGTGGGCAGTGCCTTGTAGGGTCCTAGTTAAAGAACTCTGGAGTCAGGTACACCTCGGTTCCAGTCCCAGCCCAGTCAATTCCTTACTATGAGATCTTGGAAAAGTCAAATCCTCTCTCCGAGCCTTGGTTTTCTCATCTGGAAAACAAAGACAGATAAAAGGATGTTGTGAGACTCTCATGAAGTTTATAGAGTGCTCAGCTCAATCAATTAAATACTCAATTAACAATAGCTATTTTCCCTGGTAATGTCTTTTTCCTTTTAAAAACAGAAAAGGAGACAGAGAACACTGATAGTCATTGGAACAGAACAGACGTGTCAGAGGTGAGCTGTAGGGAATGAGTAGATCCTGGTAGCTGAGGGTTCCCTCCCGGGGCTCCCCTCTTCATGACACAGACCTAGGTAACCAGTGGGAGTGGGGAAGGGGGACCTGCCACTCCCATAGGCCCTAGGTGCTCAAGCATGAGGGAAGAGTGGCCCAGAGCCACCTTCCAGGAACAGGGAGTCTGAGTCAAAGTGAATTAGGTACAGTGAGGTCACCTCGGATCCCTGGAGTTACTCAGAATGACACTGATATACACCTGGCAGGAGAGACTGGTGAACCGGGCTCTCGTAATCAGGTGTGGCTGGAAATCACCTGGTAGGAGGAAATGTCAGGCAGGCAGAGCAGGGCCTGGGAGCAGTGGGAAGGGGAAGAGGCAGAAGGCAGACTCAATCTGAGAGCTTTTGAGGGTGGAGCAGCTCCAACCTCCTTGACCTCCTTCTTCTCCCCCACCCCTAAATCAGCACCCAGCACCCAACTTGAGCCAGGAATACTGTCCTTTGGAAGCAAAGGAATGTTTGCTCTGTTGGGTCCTCCCAAGTGTGAGTGCCGAGACAGTCTCAAGAGACCCACTGTCCTCTGCCTCAAGTCTGCTAGTTCTTGTCACCTGTCCTACAATCATTGCCTCCCCTATGTGTGACCCGACCCCCTACTGGACTGGCGTTCCTGGATGAAGCTATCCTGTACACTGCCCTAGCTTCTGGGCTCAGCTCCGATTCTGCCATGGACAGCGCCTAGTTGGTACTCAGAGGGGAATGGACTCCAGAGCTGGGCAGGTTCTCATTGCTCTTCTTACACTTGAGACGTGACTGCAGTCCAACCTCTCCAAGCCTGGCGTGTCCACAGTCATAAAACAGGAAACACAGTCATCGTAAAGAACCTGGAAGGACTACATCAGAAAGCAGAGAGGATGAAGCATCTGGCTGGCCCGGGATGGTTGTGGCGGGTAATACTCCAGATGTATGTGCAGGTCACCGCACAGAAGGTACAAGGACATCACGCTGACAAGACTGCCCAGGGGACAACTCGAGCTCCTCTGCGTCTCTCCCTCTCCCCCACACACCCTGGTTTCTCCTTCTGAGACCTCTGGCTAAATCATACCAATTCCCCAGGTAGTTTCATCCACAAGTCCTGCAGCGTGCCGGCCCGCTCCTGCTTCGGGAGATGGTCTTTGTTTACCCAGCTTCCTGTCTGGGCTGCCTGGCTCCTGGTGACAGGGAAGGGCTGGAAGACACAGATGTCTGCCTCCAGTACTGGAGGATAGAGTCAAGAGCGAGAGAGGTGTGTGTGTGTGTGTGTACACACGTGCATGTGTATTCATTACCTCTAAGTATCCTCTGGACCCTCCCTGTACCCCAACAGGGAGGCAGTCCAGCCTAGTGGTGAGATGCTTTCACTCACCACAGCCCTTCCTGAGGTCCAGTCTCCTACCTAAAGAAGAGCCATGAGGATGTTGCATACTCCCCGCTCAGCAGCGGGCCCAGCTCACCATATGTGCCCAAGAAACAGCAAGTGATTTTTTTTTCCCTGTCAACGTTGTAAGGGACACCTGTTTTGGTCTTGGGTATCCCTTAGTAGGAGCTCAGGTGAATGAACCAATGAGTGAAAGGAAGGAAAGGCAGAGGAAGTGAGGGAAGGAGGAAGGAGGGGGAAGAAGTAGAGGAGACGAGGAGAGGGAGAAGAGGAAAGGAGGATGGGGCAGGTTTGTCCTGGGAGTTCTCAGCTTGTTATCGTGAATTCCCTTTATTGTGTGCCTACCGTGTGTTCTGCACTGATTCAAAAAGCTTTTCTTGAGGGCCAGCAGGTGGCATTGAGGTTAAGATGGCTGGATCTCATATGGCTGCTAAATGGTTCGAGTCCCAAACCCAGTGGCTTGAAAATCATGCTGGGAGCGTGTGCATGCATACCCGAAATCCCCAAAGGAAAATGGAGGAGAAGGGATTGTGGCATGGCCATCTCCCAAAATCCCAAAAGGAGGGAGAAACAGAGGAGATGGGATTGTGGTATAACCATCCTCTTGGGGAGTGCTTTCTCCTCTCTCTCTCTCTCCCTGCCCCCCCCCCAAGCTCATAGGCCCTCTGACAAAATAACACCATTGGTCTCTGGGGACCAGCTGATGGCATAATGGTTACATTGTTGGACTTCCACAGAGTTGACCACAGTTTGAGTCCCAGACCCAGTGACTTAAAACTCAACGCTGGGCTTGTGTGTGTGTGTGTGTGTGTGTGTGTGTGTGTGCGCGCACGCGTGCTCAAAATCCTGAGAAAGGATTGCAGTGTGGCCGTATTTTGGGGGGAATTTTTCGCTTTCTGTCTGTCTCTCTGGAGAGTGTGCACACCCAATAGCAAAAATCTCTGTCTCAAAAAATAAAAAATAAGCCATGGGCCATGTTGAGAGTGTTATCTCTCTCACTATGTCTCTCTTGCTCATGAAATGAATAAATAAATACACTTTAGGAAGGGGTGGGCTCTCTCCCAGGGCAGGGACCTCAGTTTCCAGATTTATTTTTTTTCCTGGGTGATGAGCACAAGGCTGGCACTTGTAGTGAAAGGTGCAGAGGAGTCGGGATGTGGGTTCTGGACTCAGACTGCCAGGACTCCAGTCTAGGCCCCGCCTCTGTTCAACCCTGTGACCCTGACCTGTGTGTGAAGGACACAGGCCAAGTCAGCCTCTGGCATGCATTCTCCTCTGTTCCTCCCTCCTTCCCTTTAGCCCATTGATACAGGTGAGGCTAGCAGCATGAGGCCTGTGAACAGACCTGCCCATCGGCACTGCGTTCTTCCAGGCCCTATGCCTCTGAGCAGTGTGGTCACCTGACACCCTAATTGTTCAATTAACCCTGGGACTTGTGTTGCAATTACCAGGAAAGGACCCTTTCTTCTTTTTTCTTTTAGTAAGTTTATTTATTTATTTATTTATTTATTTATTTACTTATTTTGGGGGGGGGTGGGGGACGGCCACACTGAACCCCTTCTCCATTCTGCTTTCGGGATTTGCAGCATGCATGCGCAGTGCCTGGTTGGGTTTTCAAGCTGTCAGATGAGACTCCAACCATGCGGCTGGCTATGTGGGATCCAGTACCTTAACCACCATGTCACCTGTTGGCCCCAGGACTCGCTTTTCTTTTTTTCTTTTTTAATTTAGGTTTTTGCCATAGGGAGCAATGTGCTTCTTGGAGACAGACAGAGAGACAGTGAGAGGGAAAGTGATAAATCACCCTCCCCAGGAGGGATGGCCATACCACAATCTCTTCTCCATCCTTCTCCTGGGATTTTGGACACAAACTCACAAGAGTCTGGAATGATTTTCAAGCCACCGGGTCTGGGATTCAAATTGATATGGTCTTGGCCATGTGGGAGTCCAGCACCTTAACAATTAGGCCACCCACTCTCTTCCCCAGGGCTGTCTTTTCTATTGGACTAGAACTTGGGGTGTAACGAACCTGGCGCTCCAGAAGACCACTCACTGAGCTTAAATGTGATGCCAAGACAGTGAAGGCAGAGAGGAGGGTTCTGAGACAAGGGTACAACGTTTTTTTGCGGCTCCAGATCAAGTCATGCCTGGATCATTCCATTTCCTGAGCCAGTAAATTCCCTTCAGCATAAACCAGTTTGAGTCAGGTTTTCTGTCATTTGCATCAGAAAGAGTCTGAAACTCACGTGGTGGTGAACTTTCTCAATCTCTGAACTTCAGTTTCCTCATCTACTAAATAAATAGATGAGGATGAGGGTAACAGTGTTTTTCAGGAGAAAGAGTTGTTCTGGGATGATTAAAAGGATTGATAAGGCCAGCACTTAAACAGAGCCTGACTCTTGCTAAAGGCTCAAAGGACATCAGCTCATAAATGGCCCCGAAGTGAACTAGATGGGCCAACTCTGGCCCCAGGAGGTGACTGCAGGGCATTTGGGTGGAAGCCTCTTCTATGACTCCAAGGGGGGCCCTGGAAACTCTGGTATGAGAGGCACCCCTTGAGGGGAGCTAAACACCTTGCCTGACCTATCCGGATGGCATCAAGGACTCCTGGGGATGTACTGATTACTTTTCATAAACGATCTTAGGATCCAACCAAAGCCTTTGTGCAGATGAGGAAAGTGAGGCTCCGAGGTCAGGTCCAGTATAAAATCAAGTCCAGCGCCCACTCTTCACGCTCAGCCCCAGCCCCGGAAATGCGGTTCCAGGGAACCAGGGCTCCAAGGTTCTCTAACCTCCTCAGTCTGAGGACTCTTATCTTCAATCTGCCTTGCAGGAACTTTGCGGAGAAGGCTGGGCTTCCCCTTTCTGATCTCCTGTAGTCACGGTCCGTCACCAGTTCCCCGCAGTTAACCCCACAGAGAGAGGCTGACGCAGTTCTGCTAAACAAAACCAGCCAAGTCTCACGGCTTGGCACGTCCCTTCCTTCCGGGCAGATGAGGATGCCTGGGATGGGGGTAAGTCAGGCACCTCCCACTTCCCCCCAGACAACCGCTACCAGAGCCAGACCATTCTCACGTCTGGGAATTGAACTCACCACCCTGGGCTTTTCCCACGTGGCCTCCTGGCGCATCAGTGTCCTCATCCATCGAATGCGGATAAAGATTGCACGCACATACTGTAGGGGCGGTTGGAGGGAATTATGGAGGGAAAACTTGCAGGTGTTCAGCATAGGGAGGATTGGCCCAAGGTAATAGGCGTCTGTCCCTCTTTCACCCCCAGACGACAGAGAGGAAGGCGCGTGTGGGCAAGAGCTCACTGCGGCCAGTTCTGAGGCAGATTCGAACCCAGGCCCTATGGAACTCCAAGACCAGGCTCCTTTCAAATCCTGGAGCTCAACGGTCTTTTGCTAGGGGTATCCTCCCCATCCTCTCCCCTAATACTTTCTTCCTGGCTCGCAACGCCATCGCCGCCGCCCCCGCCGCCCCGCGGTCGCCAACTTCTCGGCCTCAGCCGCCGGAGCCCAGCCCCCGCGGAG